CGAGGTCTGGCCTTGTCATCGTTTATACAGGCCTCCATTTTAAGCAGCTTTGAGCTGAACTGTGCCGACTGGCTAAATATCCCATGTTCATACATAAATATATGCATATTCCATTTTACTTTGGCACTTTGGCATTTTGATCTTTTATCAACGTAAGCTGAACTCAACTTAAGTGGAAAATATAGCAGCTTTTGAAGATGCTTTTGTTTATGTTTAACATTTAAATAGGATTTCCACAAGCTGAGTTTATCCATTTGTTTATAAATTTGTCTTTGATTTGGATACGTCATTCATATTGATATATTTATAGGAAATGGAAAATTATCTTCTGCACTTGAGTATAAATTAATCTTTTTATCTGCTAACTATTTCCTGTACAGTGTGCAGGTGACTCTTTTACTTCAGGAAGTTCATGTAGTTAGAAGCCTCCCCAATTTGCTCTTACATCTAATTACTGCCAGATTACTTGTGGTTATTCGTTTGTATCTTGAGAACCTTTGTTAAACATTAGTGGTGCTCTTTTTATTTTCAGTGTCTCCTCAGATTTTATTGTCTCAGGTAAACCAATCTGTTATCGATGGAGATCCAGTCAACTTCACTTGCCGTGCCACAGGTGTTCCAACACCAAAACTGATCTGGACATTTGTTGGTGGTAAACTTCCACTGGGTATTAATCAAAACAATTTTGAGGGAGACTCATTCGTGGAATCAGTCCTGGAAATGCGGAGAGCGACAAAGAAAATGGACGGAACATACAAGTGTACAGCAGAAAACAAAGCAAATAGAACAAGTTATTCCACAACACTTCAAGTATTTGGTAGGTCCGATAATTTTATTATGATGGTAATAATAATAATACTGATAGGGATGATAATGATTGTAAAAGTGATAACAATAATAGTAATCTTAATTTTAATAGCAATTAAGGTAATGATGGTGATGGATCCACCCCAACAATAATAATCAACGATACCTTCATCGCAAAATATGCGGTGGAAATGGTGGCTAGTGACTAAAGGTTGCCCAAAAAGAGCTGAAAAATTGTTAAGACTGAGATGGAGTCTCGATACCCCTGGAATTTCACCTAGACGATTAAGGCAAAGAATGCAAATACAAACTTGAGTGTAACGTACCTGGGAAAAATACCGTAATGAATTGTGGGAAAGATAATCGTCGCGTATGCACCATCTACCAGTTGTTTAAGATGACTCTTCCATACAGTCACTTTGTAACATTTTTTTATGGTCACTCTGATCATTTTTCTTTAGACGATTTGACTACTGCAATGACTTGTAGATTTGTATGGGGCAATATGTCTTAATGATAAAAAAGAAAGGGCCGGGTCCCGGTTTACTTAGAGGGATCTTGGAAATTTGGTTGAATGGGGTCCGAGACCATTTGGATAAGACTCAGAAACATTTTGGACAAGTAATTCAAACCCTCCTTGAAACCAAGTTTCATTCAAATGGGCACGTTATACCTTGCATGTACCATTTGGAGGGTTAATTTCGAACCACTTAGTTTCTATGATAATTACCTTACTACGGTATTTCTAGTGTTTTTTTCTTTTTCATGATAACCAAGTTATGTATACATTATCTCTTTCTCTACACAGGAAAACCCACTGCCAAACTAAGTCCTAAACCATATCCAACGCTCACTCAAGGTGATAAGCTTAGATTGACTTGCAGCGTCAACGAAGCAACAGTAAATATCACTTGGAAAAAAGATGGAGACCCAACAAAAGAAACGGCAGTCATTGATATGCAATTGGATGAGACAACAAGTTATCTGGTTGTTGCAAAGGTTGTAGAGGAGGACAGTGGTGAATATTCCTGTGAAGCTCGTAACAGACTGGGAAATGTGGCCTGCTCCACTGTGGTGATAAAAGTCAAGTGTAAGCTGGCATTATTATTGTTTTTGTTTGTTTTTGTTATTGTTTTTTGTGTGTGAATGTGTGTATGTTGGGAATAAGTCTGACATTAAAATACGGGTCCCCTGGCCTGTAAGATGCCGTAGAACCTCCTTTCAGATACCCAAATAATTATCATCATTATTGTTTGTTTTCTATTCGGCGAAAGGAATTGCACTACATCCATTGTACAAAAAGGCAGGTTATTTCTCAATTCAAAACAAGATTCTAGCTAGGTCTTCTCCATATAGCTTTAATTCACCTTTCTTTGAATCTCTTTCATAAAATGGTAGCCATTTCTAATGAGCCAGCGAAGCTCTAGCGAAAATTGTATCCAGAGGGGCTGGGTAATACTGAGTAACAACCTTTCCCTTATCATCACTTCTACTACCTTTTTTATTTGGTTGAGAACCATGTGTTTAACTTACACCAACAGCTGTGATTCCACTCCTGGTGTGGTATTATATTGTTGGATCAATGGCTGCTGCTATTGTTATTTTGCTCATAGGCTACTTCAACTTGCTACGTCGAAAGACAGGTAAAGCTCATTCTTCATATCTTGTTTCGGGAAATTTTTCCAGAGAATAATACGTTGTGTGAGAAGCAAAAATTGGACCAGTTTATGTTTACTTTTACTTCACCTCATATTCCAATTGTTCTCCTCAAGTTCGCTATTAGGCAGGTATTAATATCATCTCGGTTTGCAGGAAAAAGACCTTTGAGGCACTATAGGCATGTTTTTACTGTTTCTAATTTATAATTTCCTATTAATCATTCTTTTTTAAATAGTTCCTTCTTTCATTTCTATTTTTATTTATTTATTATTATTTTTATTTAAATATTCAAGTTAAGGCAGAACTTTTTTCCCTTTTTATTTCTTTCTTTGATTTGCCATTTGTACCTGCAGCAGCTGCTACGGCTCTGTAAGTCAATTAGTTTGCCTTTTATTTACTGAATTGAAATGGTTTTGGAAAAAAAATGAAGGTGGGGTTTAAATCTTACTGTCATGTCAGCCATTCCATTTGGAAAGTTAACTTGAATTTAAATTTACAAGTTATTCTACAATTCTAGTTTTTGTGCACAAGAAAATGTTGTTTTGTCATCTCTAGGGTGATTATCTTTCCATAAGTTGAAGAAATAAATCAAAGAATTTAGAAACTCAAAACTTTTCATTAACATTTCTTTTCATTTCTTGATCACGTATACTTTGATTTATCAATAGAAACTGTAATTTTCGTAATATTTAGTTCTAATCAAGGGGAGGCAATCGAGGTGGAGTATGTAGAGGTGGATGAATGGGAGATTGAAGTGAACCGTGTCCTGCTTCAAGATGTCATTGGGCGAGGGGCATTTGGAGCAGTGTGGAGAGCTCTTCTTAGTTCTCCAAATGGAAGACCTGGAAATCGCACAGTTGCTTCTAAATGCTTCACACGTAAGACCCAGCGTGCTATCTTTCCTCAGAACACGTAGATGGGTACTTAGCATTTCTTGCCAAGGGTGACCTGCTTTGCACTTTCCAGTGATTATTTATCTCAGGTCGACTTAGGCGCTTTGAGAGATTCATGCAAAGTTACTTTCAATAACAAAAGCAACAATAAAACAATAGAGGCATCAATAGCAATAAACAAATTTGAAGATGGTAAGCACGTGCCACAATAGTGAGACAAAGAAAATATGTATTCCTCTAAAGGATTCGCTCGCCAACCGGTTCCATTTTGGTGGGAGCTCCACCAATTAGGCTTCAGAGATTTTCTGAGATGTTAGGTCTAAATCCTTACCCGAAGTTTTCGCTTCTTTTAAAAGCACGAGAAAATTCGTCACTAATGGTTTTTTTCCTGGCTATAAAGTATATCCTTTCTATTCTAGCCACCGCAGGGGAGGAAGGAAGAAAATGTTTGATGAGAGAGATCGAGCTGGGAAAAATTCTCGGTAAAAGCAATCACCCAAACATAGTGAAATTCATTGGCTGTGTCACTAGACAAGGTACATACTAAGTTTGAGGCATCATTCTTATTATATGCAATAACATTCCAACTGAGTATGAGATTGTTAGCTTATTTGTTTGTTTGTTTGTATTGATTCGTTCCTTCTTTTCGTTATGTTAAGTTCATCCAATCCTGATCATGGAACATTTGCCATGTGGTGACCTGCTTGGTTACATGAGAAAATGCCGGGGAATTAATGATCGGTATTATCTTGGAGAAGGAAGGCCTCAAGTTTTGAACAACTATGACCTTGTGCTATTTGCCAAACAAATCGCCGCTGGTATGGTATTCCTTGGATCAAGGGGGGTAAGTAACTAAAATTCTTCTACATTCAATTTTACCGCAGAAATATCTGTAAGGGATTGTTACACCTTTTGAGTTGCTTGAATATATATATATCTAAATTATATGAATTTTTTGGAGGCAGGTTTCATATTCTCAATATTTCATCAGGCTAAGAGTTCCTTTGGTATTGTCGGTGGGTCACCAGATGTCGCAGTTATTTTGGTCTGTAATGAACACCCTAGGAACAATAGTTCTTACAATCCATGCAAACGTCTGTATAATCTTCCCTCTGATCATGGTAGGTCTCACAAAAGACATGCATTTGTTAGGCAGTTTACATTTAGGATCTTTGTCTTTCGGTAGATAATCCATCGTGACCTGGCAGCTCGAAACGTCCTCCTTGATAACAACTATGTGTGCAAAGTGACCGACTTTGGCATGGCATATCAAAACTTCAAATACGGTCATGGAAAAGCCAAAAAGGTAGAAGATCGTCTTTGCCTTTTTTTTTTTGGCAAGGGCAAAAAAACCGATTCCCTAAGTTAGCTGTTACTCTGCTTAAAATTCACCTTAATTGCCAGCTGAAGATAGCTCCACGTTCTGTCATGCCACAGAATACAACTGAATTAGTTGACTTTACTGTTTTAAATTCATGACAACTGCTTAATTTTGACACTCCAATAAAGTCTCGGAAGAGGTGCACCATCCACCTCTCGTTTACATACATGCCCTTTGTTAACTTGCCAGTATTATAGCACTTATTTTTAAACAAAACTGTCGTTGCAGGGCCGTCTGCCAATCAAATGGACTGCACCAGAGATTTTGTTGGGAAATCTCGCTGGACTTTCTATCTTGAGTGACGTGTATGTATGAAATTTTTGCACTGAGCAGGTCATCTCTTTGGTTTTAATCTTTACAAGCTAATATCCAACACTCAGCAAGTATCTTGGCAATGTTTTTTGGAATTTTTTTTCAGGTGGTCTTACGGAATCGTTCTGTATGAGATAGTTACCCTTGGTAAGTCAAACTATGTTCAAAAACAGATATTTATACTTCCCGTCTCTCCATGCGTGGAAATATTGTAGGTATCATTTCTGAAACTCGTTAGTCAATGTCAATTCCTTTAAGACTCAATTGGCAGACGTTAGTTTGATGAGCTGTGGCGGAAAAATTTGTTTTGCCAAAGTTTTTGATGAATTTTGCTCAGCTTGTCAAAGTTTCATTCTCTATAACTGAGAAATGTTGTTTCAAGACTTTCCTTTCCCTGACTATCACAGAAGACGAGTAACATTTTGTGTTCGACTTCAAATGACAAAAACCCTTTCAAATTACTTGGCAAAAAAATGGTAATCATTTACTTAAAATATCAGGCTAAGAAATATCATGTTTCGAATACTGCAATCAAGCACCAGAGGGGGATCTCCCTGATTCAAATCTCAAAATTTTTAAAGGAAATATTCAGGAGTATCAGCCACAAATTGTTTATGTCTTTGCAGGAGGAATTCCATACGAGGGATGGACAGAAGGGAAGGTGGTTGCACAAGTCACACATGGATACAAACTTCCAAAGCCCGATCATGTTGATGATAAACTGTGAGTCTTGACTTTCAAGTTGCCATGTTCCATTTTAAATCACCCAGTCTCTCCAACCCCGAAGGAAAACATTGTCTATTTTTTAATCTGATTTCTTCTCTCGTTATTGAACACTGTTAAATGAAACAAAGTTAACAGCGGTCACCAGTTTGTTCAGTTAAAAGTTGTCTTTTCACTCAAGAATTTTGAGAAGATGAATTTTCTGCTATTACAGCCACACTGTAATAGCCATTACAGCCATTATTTGGCCAAAGCTCTCCTAAGATTTCTGTATTGGTTGATTTTTATCACATATTTCATGAACCACAGTCCAGTATTGACCATCATTCCTTTCTTCCAGGTATGCTATAATGAAAAGGTGCTGGAATTTTGACCCCGACTTTCGTCCTCCCTTTGAAAACCTGCGAAAAAGAATGGATACCTACCTTCGTGAAGAGGTTTGTGGCACGATTTGAACAATTCCTTGACATCCTCGTAGGCCTCTGAGATTATTCATTCTTCTAAAATTACTTCATAGACCATTGTTCTTTTAAAGTTGGTTTCAGCAGTTTAATAGAAGTGATTTGGGATTGCACTGGTTTCTTCCAACTGCACTTGAAGCCGCTTACGGGAATTTCAGTGCCTTGAGCTTTCATTTTGATGGCTCCTACTTGAAGTTTCGTTTCTTTCTATTTGCCCCAGCTTGTCAATATTTTAAAATTTTTAACCCACTTAAACATAAAACGCGCTAAGATGTCCCATGCCCACAAACCCATCTATCACCATCCCTTCCGCCCTTCCCTTTACTTACCTTCCCATCTACATTCATAATAAAGGGGTAAGTTTCTAGGAAAACTGTGGAGTTGCGTCGATGGAGAGTATAACGGGCTAATTTGATATTTTCAACTGAGCTGATAACGTAAATTGGCCACTGTTAAGAGTTTAAAAGCTGACGTCTCGAGCGTTAGCCCTTCGTCAGAGCGAATGGCAAAGTTCTAACGTTCAAAACTTTAGCTTGAAAACTCTTTACGGTGGCCAATTTACGTTAGTGACTAAGTTGATGATACCAAATTACCCATCTACATTCATAACTTCCTACTTACCAACCAACCTGCGTAAGAAAACGCATTTCTTCCGTGCCTTTAACGCGAGGATCATTAGTGTGCTTTGTAGTCATTATAATTTTCTTCTTGACTTGAAGTTAAAGACGACGATCATGAACAATCTTCTTTTATTGCCTTCCCCTTTAGACATATCTGCACCTGCTCGACATGGGATCTTATGACACGATCAAATACTCCAAGGTTGAAGACCTCGGAGATGAAGATGCCGAACCAAGTGTACGAGCTACAAGGAACGCCGCTGCAAAGAGATTAGGAAAATGGGCCAGCGACCGTCGTTAGACAGTGACATTTTGAATATTACTCAGGAACCTAGCCGCTACAATAAATTTCAGTCACTTTGTAGTACATCAAGTATTAAAAAATGTGTACCCGTGATAACGGTGATAATTTAAGGGTCTTATTGTGTTATAATAAATCAAAGCAGTGTCCTTAATGAGACACCTTTAAGTCAATTTTTTCTTAAGTTGCAATTGATAAATAATTCGATTTAGATACAGCTGATTAAGGCAGGATTTAAAAAA